GTCTCTGTTTTCCGTCTGTCTGACACGCGTGCACGCGCCGGCACTCATTCAGTAAAGATTAAAACTTAACACAGACTGTCAGGACGGACCTTTATGCAAAAATGGAAATGCTCGCATGAAAACTAAAAAGTTAAACTAAAAGTTTTTGCACTGAGGATGCACACGCATAGGGTTGCCAACCGTTCCGTATAATACGGAATCGTCCTGTATTTAAGGCATCAAAGAAGCGTTCCATATGAAAGCTTTACGAAACGCAGTTTGTCCCATATTTAAGGCATATGCCATATGAACACCTAGACCATATGAATAACAAACTCTAAATTGAGAATTAATCATTCTTTTTTGACAAGTGTTTGATTTGTGAACATACACTCTTAAAAATAAAGTAATGTTTTTGCGCTGATTATTAATTGTCTCTGTTTTCCGTCTGTCTGACACGCGTGCACGCGCCGGCACTCATTCAGTAAAGATTAAAACTTAACACAGACTGTCAGGACGGACCTTTATGCAAAAATGGAAATGCTCGCATGAAAACTAAAAAGTTAAACTAAAAGTTTTTGCACTGAGGATGCACACGCATAGGGTTGCCAACCGTTCCGTATAATACGGAATCGTCCCGTATTTAAGGCATCAAAGAAGCGTTCCATATGAAAGCTTTACGAAACGCAGTTTGTCCCATATTTAAGGCATATGCCATATGAACACCTAGACCATATGAATAACAAACTCTAAATTGAGAATTAATCATTCTTTTTTGACAAGTGTTTGATTTGTGAACATACACTCTTAAAAATAAAGGTGCTTCTTCTATGGCATCGCTTGAAGAACCATTTTTGGTTCCACAAAGAACCATTCAGTCAAAGGTTCTTTAAAGAACCATCTCTTTCTTACCTTTTTATAATCTGAAGAACCTTCTTTCGCCACAAAGAACCTTTTGTGAAACAGAAAGGTTCTTCAGATGTTAAAGGTTCTTTATGGAACCATTTAGACAAAAAGGTTCTTCTATGGCATCGTGAAGCACCTTTATTTTTAAGAGTGTAGCCGTTCCAGGGAGGCGTTAAGACCAAGCGGAATCCTCTACTGAGTGAGCAGGACTCACGCCGGAGTTGGGTTTTTTAACGACCGCGTTTCGACTTCAGAAAATCAGTTTTGTAATTTGACACGACCGGCTGAAGTTGGACGTGCACAGTGGGCAGACCCAACTAATCGATAATGAGAATCGTTGTCGATGATTTTCATAATTGATTTTAATCGATTTTACCGATTAGTTGTTGCAGCCCTAATGTGTACCGCACCATTAGATGGAGTTCAATTTATATGTTTATAAATATATACAAAAATATTATAGTATAGTATAAAAATCACTAAATATTAGTGTTGTGTTCGATACATCGATACGATGATGTATCGTCACAGAGATTTGACGATACGATTATAGATACAGCTGGCCCTGTATCGATATTGTGGCACGTGTGTAGCAGTGGACCGCGCTTAATTTGAATACAAGAACACCATTTAAAATGGAGTAGAAAAGTGTGAGGTTTCTAAAAAATAATGAATAGAGCATAATACATGTGACCCTGGACCACAAAACCAGTCTTAAGTGCTGGGGTATATTTGTAGCAATAGCCAAAAATACATTGTTTGGGTCAAAATTATTGATTTTTCTTTTATGCCAAAAATCATTAGGACATTAAGTAAAGATCATGTTCCATAAAGATTAAAGTAAATTTCCTACCATAAATATATCAAAACTTTATTTTTTATTGGTAATATGCATTGCTAAGAACTTCATTTAGACAACTTTAAAGGCAATTTTCTCAATATTTAGATTTTTTTGCACCCTCAGATTCCAGATTTTCGAATAGCTGTATCTCGGCCAAATATTGTCCTATCCTAACAAACCATACATCAATGGAAAGCTTATTTATTCAATGTATTCAGCTTTGAGATGGTGTATAAATCTCAATCTTAAAGAATTTACCCTTATGACTGGTTTTGTGGTCCAGGGTCACAGATAGGCTACAACAAGGTTTAATCTGGCCGCAGAGGAATACAACCGGGTTGCCTGATATAAAGAGACTAAATCCTCAACACAGAGCTTCCCACTTGCGCAATACGGAAATATCTGCTAAGTGTGTTACTTATCTTTGTCAACCTGGCAACCAAGCTCTCTCTTCACTGTGGATAAACCCGCTTGCTTTCTGAAAACACCGGTAAACTTGCAGTTTAGCGATCTCCACTTCAATATTCTCAGAAAAGTGTAATTCATCAAGTGTTCACTTACGAGAGAGAGAGAAAGAGAGGCTGTTTGTTTGAATTAACACCGTTTTGCCGCGTTTCTCCATTAACAGTGAAGCTGTGGCTTTAATTACTTTAGATACAATGTTACCAGCTCCTTGTTGAGGTAAGATAATGTAGCTCTTGAGCGATTAAGCTATAAAACTGCGGGGCAGCGCTAAAAAGTTTGTTGCTGAATGTGTGTGTGCGCGCAACGTGATCTGTTTGAGTGACTAAACATGTGTGCATGAGCTACAAGACTACAAGAATTAGAACTCTTCTAATTTTTTTTTTTTTTGTGTGTGTTTTAATTTGTGCAATGATAACCTACCAGCAATGTTAAGATGATTTTTTAATATATTAGTATGAGTACATTAAAATATACATTTATTAGAATGAGTATATTATTATTTATGGGCTTAAAAACAAGATGCAAACAATCAGAATATTGTAGCTGGTGGGGAGTGCCCAATGTAAACATATGTCATTACCTATATTGTACTGTGGTACAGTTATGGAGGTCCTTCATAATGCAGAGGTCAACTGCCTGCTCTGCCAATAGTTAGCAATGGCCCTATAGTATGCATTGTTTAATAAACAACTGTTTTGCTAAATTCTGCTGTGGTGAAATTCAGTGCAGTCCTGTATCAGGATACGTATTGTATCGTGACTTTGCTGGTGATACACAGCCCTACTAAATATATGCATGAAGTAAAAAGCTACAGCACTATTAGGATTGATTGATTACTTATTTATTTATTCAGAGTTTCTGCAGGTTTTATGAAGGTAAATTTAAGACTTTTAAGACCTTTTTAAGGAAAATGGAACAAATGCTCCCAACTACTAGAATTTTGAAATTTTTACTGTACCTTCTGATCACACTGCAAAAAAAACAATGTTTATCATCTGTATTTTTGTCTTGTTTTCCAGTGCAAATGCCTAAAGATTCTTTAAGCAAGATACATTTACTTCAGAAGCAAAATTACATAAAATAAGAAGTCTTGTTTTATGAGAAAGTTATCAAAACTGAGTTTATGATTAAAACAAGAACAAATATCGGCCAATGGGCTAAAAAAATCCTAATTCAATGGGAAAACAAGTTTTCATTCATACCTCTTAACAGATTATTGTTATTGTTTTAACCATAAACTAAATAAATGTTGCTCAATTTCTGAAAAAAAAACAAATGACTTTCAAGTAAATGTACCTTGAGTTTAAGATGTTTAAAAATTTGAAAGTTAAACTGAGCTGCGTTTAGCAGGTGTGCAACAATGCTGCTGTGCGGCAGAAATGAGGACTGTTTGAAACTCTTTTTTCCACTAAAACTTTGATGCGCATCGTCTCAGTTTAATACGTGAACATAACAAAAGATGTGATCGCAAAACAATCAGGAAAAAAGGCATTACATGCACATTTTTAAAGGGGTCATATGATGCTTTTTCTATTTTTCCTTTTCTTTAGTGTGTTATGTAGTTATTTGTGCATGTACAAGATCTGCAGAGTTACAAAGCTCAAAGTCTCCCACAAAAGGATTTATTCTATCTAAAAGAGAAGGCTGATCTTTGCCTAAAACATCTCATTCAAACACGCCCCCACATCTCTATGTCACGATGTGGAAATATTTGCATAATGCCACCCAAATGTGCA